GGATAGGCTCCGCCCCCCCGACCATATTAGGGGATAAGAGGTTATGATGATGGATGGATGTTTGTGATGCTTATACATAAACTATAAACCTTTACATGGTTTCTGTCTTTATGATACAATGAAGGGAAGTTTGAGAAGATCGATAACAAACTCGTAATTATTCCAAAGTCCACAAAATGTGAGGAGGGGGGGATTCATTACATTTTTCTGGCCCTTATATTTCAAATAGACATCAAACAGCATCCAACATCATTCTGATGTAGAGCATCCCTTAGCATGAGGACAATGAGAAAAATAGAAGAGTTACAGTGATTTGATTCCATCAAACTCAACCCAACTTTATTTCTGTTCCATTATCTCATTATTACAAACAACACTGGCCACCTTTCCACAAGTTTGATTCACAATCACACTGACAATTTTCCTACAATTTTCATTATAAATCTAGAAAGAGACAAAAATGGTAATATAAAGCTTTTAGAAATATATTTTATAAATCTCCTAATCATTTGTACCTCATGTACTTTAAAAGTACTTTTGATGAAGAAAGGCAGTTTAGAAAACAAATATGATCTTGACATTTTTTCACAACTGATCCCTGAACACATGACAATAAAAGGTAGATAAAAGTCAAATGTCATTAAAAATCTCGTACCTAGCAGAAAGAATAACTCCATGACAATCAAACTGACTATTTTCCAACTATTTTCAAAATAGATCTAGAAAGAGAGAAAAATGGTAATATAAAGCTTTTAGAAATATATTTTATAAATCTCCAGATCATTTGTACCTCATGTACTTTAAAAAGTACTTTTGAAAAAGAAAGACAGTGAGAAAACAAATATGATCTTGACATTTTTTCACAACTGATCCCTGAACACGACAATAAAAGGTAGATAAAAGTCAAATGTCGTTAAAAATCTCGTACATAGCAGAAAAAATAACTCTCCATGAGGCAGTTTAAGTATTCGGCTGAACTCATCACATGTAAAAAATAAAACCATCTCCTTCTTCAGGAATTGGAAGCAGGCAGCATTTAAGTTGTAAGTCTGAAAGCTAACACAAAACAAATGTAAAACTACTAAAGACTTTGTTAAAATCGTACTCAAACCCTAACCCAGTGCTTCTCAAATAGTGGGGGGGATACCTGGGGAACAGCCTTTTCTTTTTTGGCCGTTCTAGTATAAAGTGTAATAGCACAAACACTCCATTAGGGGGCAGTGGCGCTCTCATCGCAACTTCGGTGAAACATTTTACGACTTAAAGACGACAGGTTAGCCTCGGTTAGCATCTGCGTTCTGTCTTTTCCAAAATGGAAAAGTTTTTAACGAAAAGAATGAAAAGAAAAGCGGAGGGAGACAAAGATAACGAGACAAAAGAAAGTCACCCGAAAGCTAAGTGTTTTATATATTGTGCTCCTGAGTTAATGTTGCTTAACTGAATATAACTTAGTTATTATTTTTGTAGTTTATTAGTTATTATAATTATTAAATATTATTTATTGATTTGATTTAATTTTGCAACGGTGCAATTAGTTGGTC